ATCTGACATTGGGTACACATCTAAGGACATGTCTGCAGGCTTAACATAAGCAATAAACAATACCTTGTAACAGTTGTAACAATATATGAGCTTCACTCACATAGATGCCACTACTACCACTCCTAAAATACAAAGCGGGACCTACCTGTCAGACTGACAGCTGGGTCCCACAATAACACTGCCGTGCAGGCACAGTGACAGGAGGAGGTCGGGTTTGCTATGCAGTGTGCCCAAATCAGACATTCTGCATAGCAGTTAAAATGACACTAAACTCAGGAGTTAAACCTTAAAAATACATTCAAGTACCTTAACTATTAACAAAAATGTATCTTATTTGTGTATCACTCGGCTGTAGTTTCTCAAATCATCTCTGAATTGGTGCTGACACTGTCCTTCCTTTTGGAGGGGGGGCTACTTTTGTTCCCCATGATACCTGTGTGTAAGGTAGCCACTGCTCCAAGCTCACTTGGGTTAATATAGCAATGTCAATACAACCATGGGGAAAAAAGGTAGCCACCCTCCATCCAAGTTAAGACCCAGTGTGTGTCTGCACCAAATACAACCATTGCTAAACATACTGTATATGACCCAGATTCACTACCAACTGAACACACATTGTAACTTGACTGCTAGAAGTTATTTATAGTTATATTTTTTGAGCCGCTTCACATAACTAAGAGCTGAGAGACATTTAGGTCTGGTTCACACCTGGGCGTTTTACAGCGTGTTCCTAAGCGCTGTAAAACGCTCAACATGTGAAAACCAATGATTGCCTATGGGCATGGTTCCCACCTGGGCGTTTTACAGGGTGTAGGAACCCGCTGCAAAACGCCCTACGCCCAAAGAAGTACAGAAGCTTCTTTGGGACGTATTTGCCGCGCGTATCCATTAGGATACAGCCAGATAGCCCTCGGAAACGCGCATTTGTCGCGCGTTTCTTTTACCGCAAATCGCGGTAAAAACGCGTGGCACAAAACGCGTGGCAAACGCACATATTCCGTAAACCTAGGTGTGAACCCAGCCTTACGGAGAGGGTTTATGACACAAAGCTCTGTCCCATCTTGCCAAGCCCTACCCGTTTTAGTCCAGTCTCATAGTTGGTGGAAGTTCTGTCCTGCCCGCTGTCAGTGGGAACAACTGCCTATAAATCTGCCCAGCGAGTCCGGCACATCTGCACACTTGCAGAGAATGTTATTATTGGAAAGTGTGGCCCTGTTCATGAGCATCAGATCAGGTTGTGTCTTTTCATGAGCTGGAAGAACAGCAGTCTTCAGCTAGTCCTCCCTACTTGTCACCACTTGGCCAGCTACCAAATCTCCCTACCTTATTAGTTGTCAGGCTGAGCTGTGACAGCCACAGGGCTTGTGGATGATTACAGCTTTCTCTGTAGATCTCTGGTAAATATGTGACACCAGACTATAATTTCCAGGAGCGATGAAAAAAAAAAAAGCTGTTGTGTGATAGAATTGTCAATTCAAGCTCTGGAATTGGGAACGATTTCGGAACACTCAGCACTTCATTTAAAGCGGACCTTTTATAAAAGTAAAAAAAAAAGTAAAACTTCACAGCAGATTTTAAATGGGAAAAAAAAACTGGTGTTGTAGGGCATTTCACCTCAGACCGGGTGAAGTCAAATCTGAAGCCAGAGAGGATGTGAAAGCCAGGCTCTGAGTTTAATGCAGCATGAAGCCATATTCTAATGCAGGATACAGTCCATGTACCCATCACACTCAGAACCGATTTTTCCAAAATCATAAAGTGGGTGCAACGGCTGTCGACGGTTGGCAACCGCCAAAATACATAAGTAGGTATATGGACACCGGCACTCCAGTGACAAATCAAATATGTCTATTTATTGACGTATAAGCGGCATTGCATAATCACTCAGTGCAATGTTTCGGGGTCTCAAAGGATCTCCTTCATCAGGCAGAACACGTGATGAAGTTATTGGCCATTGGAGTGCCAGTGTCCATATTTCTACTTATATTCTAAAGCAGAATGTCACTCAGCCTTGCGAGAAGGATGCAATGCCTGGCTTTAATTGGCTGGGAAAGGTATTGCCCCCTTCATTGTGTTTTTGGCCAATAGATACCATAGGGATGACCACAGGTGGGCAGGCCCTAGGTTCAGATGGCAAGTCAGCAATAAATGATTACATATTTTTCTCTGTTCAGTTGGCCTTGATTTTATCAAGAGTTGTGTGCAAAGGGTGGCAACGCCTGCCAATAATTTAGAATTCATCACCATTTTTCTGGCTACTTTATATCTATGGTCATAAACTAAAAATAAATCTATAAGTTCTATCCCACTCCTAATAATCATATCCACCTAGAGGTTTGTAGACTTACTCATTGAAGGTTCCCATAGTAACATAGCTGGTAAGGTTGAATAAAGTCACCGGTCTGTCCAGTTCAATCTACACTGAGTGGCCAGATTATTATGACCACCTGACGTTTGTAGGCAAATTAGCTATAATTTTGTGCTGAAGTTGCTAGAGGGCCAGACCATTATAAATAGGGAAGAAGGCTGTTTACCACGACAGTAGAAGTGATTTTTTTCTGAAGATAGGGGGAAACAACGCTATATAACAGCCTTTGAGCGTGGTATTATTGTTGGCACTCGGAGCCATGGAGCGAGTATCAGCAAAACAGCAGAATTTGTTACATGTTCAAGAGCAGCTGTTGTTAAAGTGTTTAAAGACTGGACTGTCAGCGGAAAATCTGGGTCTGAACGTCCGAATTGTGGTTGTCAGCGACTAGTCAATGTTAGGGCAGGACGGAGCAGCAAGACTGGTACAAGACAACAGAAGTGCAAAAGTGCAGTGTCAGATTCCTTTGAATATGTACTTCCTTGTGCCACCACTCTTAGCTGAACCTGTAGTCTTGAGAAATGGAGATTGCATCACAGCAAGCAGCAGGGAAAGAGACACAAGGAACACTGGCAATCCAGGGAGTTGTTGAAAGTGATGGGCAGACGGAAGGCAGCACTCACTACATAAAAGGGATTTGTTCTAGTAAGCTTTGATTGTATTATCAGAAACATCTCTACTATGTATTCCTATTACAATGCTGATGTTACAACAGGAGAGGATACGATGGGACTTTACATCTCCTTTAAACTGGTATAAGTTAAACTAGCGGTCATCCTTCCAACCAGATGTAGGCACTGCATATACTTTAAGAAATGTTACCGCTGATCCTTAAAGTGACGCTAAACTCAGGAGTTAAATCTTAAAAATACATTCAAGTAGCTCAACTATTACCAAAAATGTCTCTTATTTGTGTACCACTCGGCTGTAGATCCTCAAATCATCTCTCAATTGGTGCTGACACTGTCCTTCCTTCTTGAAGGGGGCTACTCTTGTTCCCTCTTGGTCCCTGTGTGTGTTGTAAAGTAGTCACCACTCCAAGCTCACTCCTATGATGGACTAATGCACATAGTTTGGAAAGTTTTAAACATTGCCCCAGAAGCGGAATATTCCCATTTCTTCTGTCTGTTTCCATCTCACGGGTCATATTGGACCAACTGCTCCCTAGCTAAAGACGTGCCCCTTTGTTGAGCTATTTAGGAATCCTTTAAAACAAGGGCTCTTTGTTTTAGTGGCGGAGTGGCTTGTGAATTTTTTCAGTCCTCAGTGGGTTAACTGGGGAAGAGCAGAACAGTCATAATTGGCCCATTTAGGGTATTTTGCATGTGAATAGTGCGTTAGTGAAGCATTACTAAGTCTGTTGTGAGTGACACGGTGATTAGAATATAGATTAGGCAAAACACATTCTGTACTTTATCAAGTACAGTAATTAGTTCTCTCGGTAAAAAGTTGATTACAAGTACAGATAAAGTTAGATTTTTTTTTTTGGGCACTTAATTTTAAATTTTCCTTATTTTTTTATATATCTTTTTAAATGGTAAATTTGCTCTTAATATAAATGGGGAGAGAGATCTACACCTGCTTAATTCCATGTGAGGACAATTAAAAGAACAATGTATTTGCTGCTAGGTGTAATCAAGAGACTTGTGTGTTATGGGTAAGTTTCCACGTACGTCTACTGCAAATAGTAAATAGATTTGTGCTGTTGTGATTAACTTTGACTTATTAGCTTTATTGCAGTTTTTACCCTGTTGGCAACACTGACAATTTCTACCGAGGCACGACGATGCCTTGCTGCACACATTCACTGCAGTGATGGGAATGTTTCAATTGACTTTCCATACCGTCGTAATTTTTTAATTGTGTCCTTATTTGTACCGTGTAATTCCACCTCTCCGGCATCCCCAAGCCAAAGCTTTCCTATTATCCTAGTTCATTTTTTTCTAGTTGAAAGTTTAATGCATTTGAGGATTTGTAGCCTTTTAACTTCTGGTGGGTGTATTTATGGGCATCTTACCATTGTTATATGGGGGTAACAATTTATTTATTGTGCATATGATATCCAACGGAACAAAATTAGAGGAAAATGCACTTGTTTAGCCCTTTTAATTTGTCTTATTTAATCTGTATATCTGATTAATCAACTATTAGTTTTTCTTCTATCTTTTTTAAATTCTGGGCTCTAATACGTCTCCATCTCTTATGATATATGTTCCACCTATGTACCATGTTTTGTTTTGTTTTAATCCGGCATGTTTGATATAAAAAATATAGCTGAAATCTTAATGCAAAAAGAAAAGAAGGCCATATTGTATAGAGTTGTATTTATAGGACTGACGCTGTATGCTCTCCATTGGTTGCCAGGGGAGAATGCAATACCAAATATTTTGTTGTTTTTGGGGAAGATTACTTTTTCTATGGCTGGCATATTTCCCCCTTTTTCCTGAGGATCACTAATCAAACAGGACTAGTGAAAGAAAGGATGTGATATTTTTTTATTGCCATATATAAAATGTGTTACATTTTGGCTTATATTAAGCTGTTTTTAGTTGCTCTTTTTTGTGGGTGTTTTTTTTTTTTTTTTGTGTCCTGTCTTTAGAGATTAAATGTGCTTTTCTTGCATCGTTTTCAGCAAAGCCTTCTCGGAGGTGAAATGGACATTGGCAATTCAGGGGCTCTTTCACCCACAAAGCCTGGCTCACAGTACTATCATTATTCAAGCAATAACTCCAGGAGGAGGCCTTTTCATAGCAGCTCAATGGGTGCGTATTATTATTTTCTGCCTAGTAATAGTATCCAGTTACACTCTCAGATAAACCATGAGCCCCAGCGAGACAGGCAGGATAACAAAGGCATGGAGACTTTTCTCAGCTACCCACTGTCTGCTTGCAGTGGCTGTTGCCTCCATTCCAAAGCTAAACTTTCCCTGCGGTAAAGCCTTTCGTTATTATTGCTATCACTGTCAGCGCCTAATATTAGAGTTATAGCGGAGTTTTCTGATACAGGATATAGGCAGTTGGGGTTAGAAGCAGGCAGTTGCTGAAATACTACAATTGTCAGCTCAACAATCATAGCATGCTGGTCTTTGTAGTTCCTTAGTGATAGTAGGGGTATTAGGCTGGGACAGTAGGCTTTTGCTGCTGCTGCATATTATTATTAGATTAATATTTATTTGTAAAGCATAGGCATCTGCTGTCATTCTGTACAAAGTGATACAGACAAGCCGATTAAGGGGCTGTGTCAACGGACTTTGGGCTTGTGTCGATGACATCGGTGCATTTGACCTGCTGCTGACCTCCATCTTACTTGCATTTTTCCTGCTTTAAGAAGGCTTTGCATTGCCACAGATGTGTATTGGAATGCAGATCCTGTTTGACTTAAACAAAACCCTACTGACACAGTCCCAAATACAGATATTACAATCACATCAAGCATATCCTGCTACAAGTACGTACAGTTGAATAAAAAAAACTACACTGCCTGGCCAAAAAAAAAAAAGTCACACATTCTAATATTTTGTTGGACTGCCTTTAGCGTTGATTACGGCACGCATTCGCAGTGGCATTGTTTCGATAAGCTTATACAATGTCACAACATTTATTTCCATCTAGAGTTGCATTAGTTTGTCACCAAGATCTTGTAGTGGTGATGGGAGAGTTGGACCTCTATGTGAAGTCTTCTCCAGCACATCCCAAAGATTCTCAATGGGGATAAGCTCTGGACTCTGTGGTGGCCAATTCATGTGTGACAATGATGTCTCATGCTCTCTGAACCACTCTTTCACAATTTGAGCCCGATGAATCCCGGCATTGTCATCTTGAAATATGCCCAATGTGCCACTTGCGAGCCATTTCTTGGAGACATCAGTGGTGAGATTATCTTATATCTCCACCACTTCCACAAAGCCACACTATAATATGGCCCTCTCTTTCAGCAAGGCTGATTGATCGTTTGATTATTTTACATTTTGGACAAACTATCAGAAAACAGTGACACCATCATTGGGCTTTGTCAATCCTCATGACAGTTTAGCAGAGCAGCAAATTCAGGTGAGGACATCTCACTTTTTTAAACCCTGTTATAAGAGGCCAGCATGTGGTTAATACTTCTCAGGAACCATTCATTTAAATGGATTTGTCCTTTAACCTTTAACCCACAACCTCCAACTTGCAAATCAGACTCTTTTTTTCTGACCCTAACCGACAAAAAATTTTTTTTGTAAGTTGTTGCTGTGGGCATGTTCTCCCCATCTCTCTGCTATAAACCATAAGCTTTTATGAATTCATCTGTCGTTTGTTTGAAACTGAACAAACTGAGAGGATGATGACTGCTTCCAGTAAAAGTTGTTGTTTTTTTTCTATGCAGCAGAGGTGCAAGCAAAGAAAGTAAGGAAAGTTCCTCCAGGTTTACCCTCTTCAGTAAGTACCCTTGAGTTTTACGCAGTTGAAGCAGGAAAATATCTGATGTTCTGCACACTTGCTTGATGTTTAGTTGGTTTGGGTATTCTGTGTTTGTTTGGCTTCAGTGGTGAAGCAATGATTGTAATACATTTGAAAGGCCTGATTGTACAGGAATGTATTCTTCTCCCTAAAGGCTACAGATAGCAATGTAATGTAACTCTAGTCCAAATCTTAAAAATAAAAGACTTTGCTCAGTTTGCTTTAAAGAAAACCTGTAAGTTACGGAAACCTGATAGTGATAGGCTCTGTGCCTTTACTTGCTCCTAGAGCCCTTCTGACATCACTCAGATTGGGCCATTGACTGCTCAGGCTCCAAGCTCTGCATTTGTGTCAGGACAGGTTGAGTCACTGGACATACTGAACTTTTTTGGTGTCTTCACTGATGAGTGTGATTAAAGCATGCCTGTGCTGCCCCACATATAAACTTGCATTTACTACAAAGCAGACATCTTAAAGGTGCTCTCTAATTCAACCAGAATCAGTAGCCCTGCCCCTTGCATCCTCTTAAATCTTACTGTTGTCCCTTCATGGGCAGCCTCACCAGCCAATAGTAAGATTGGGGTGGACAGGCCAGAGCCATGAGCTAGTCGCTACTTGTGTTACAGAGTGGCCCAGGTTTTTTTCGGGTAACTTTTGGTCCTAAAAGGAGGCAAAGCTATGAAGTATGACTCTTATTTATATGTATTTATGTCCATTCAGTCCCATGGGTGTTATTGTGACACAGGTTGCAGAGGCCTCACTATACTGTTTAAAGGGAATTATCACAAAGCAAAATACCTGTCTGAGTAGCGTTAGATGTAAGCAATTCTGTATCTTATAGATATTGGCTCTCTTATCATTGGCATGGAAGCTTGTGTAGATTGTGCAGACTGAAACGGGAGTCTCTTCATGTGCACTAACGACTGTGTTTATCAGAGATGGGCTTGTTGGTTGCTTGCAAACACAAATTCCTGGTTAACAGCTTCAGTGGTGCTGGGCAGAAAGATCTCTGCAATGACCCATTTATTTTGGCCTGTGGAAAAGTTTGTGAGGTTGGTAATGTGTAAGCTCTATAAAGGCACAAGAAATGTCTTTAAAGGATTAGTCCACCGCAAACGGTAGATTTGCATCACTTAGCATCTTCTTATATATCTTGTATCCCACTTGTCAATGTGCCTTTAAATGTCAAAAGATTGGCAAAATGTTGCCCATATGGAAAATCTCTTGGGGAGACTTCCTGCCTCTGCAAGGCATACCGATGTTAACACACCACTTAACTAACTAACATGTATTTAGATGCTTATGGATAGTATGGAAGTATTCTGTTTGAGCACAATTTCAATACATTTTTAGGGAATGCGTTGGTAGTGATGACCTAACGACATTATAAGGGTACATGGGCCTCAGAGTTAGAGACAAGGCAAATGTGGCTAGGTGCTTTCAGAGAAAAAAATGGCTTCTGATACATGTTTATATATGTTCATGATGCAATTATGATGGTTTTATGCTGCATTTATGAAGGATTTGTGATCCGTTGACTTGCATCTCCACAGGTCTTTATACAACAAAAAAAAGCTGCTAAAACAGCAGCAAAATAAAGTAAGAAGTTATGATATGTGACAAATGCAAACATGTTAAGACTCTGCCTTTAAATAATTTCACTTTTAATTATGGTGTCCATCATATTTCATAAACAGCTAGTAGTAGTTAGTCACATTCTGCGGAATTTGTTCTGTATTGTTGAAGACGCATTGTGGCTCACCCAAGCCACTGTTTCTATTGAATATCAGGAAAATACCCCAGCATTTATATCCACACAGGTAGCACGGGCACAGTAATACAATTTCCATGCAAGCCTCATAGGCTTGGATCATGGCTTAAGGTGTAAATTGCTAGGGTAGCAATTTTAAAATGGCATTATATGTGGAAGATAAATGGTGGAAGTAGAAAGGAGAGCACTGAACAAATGCTTGGGTATTTTTCTGACACTCATTAGAACTGAAGAAGTTGCTTGGTTAAACTATGAAATATCTTCAAAATTCAAAAGAACTCTAGTTGAATGTGACTAACTACTAGCTATACCATGACCTGGATAAATCAGAACCTTCACAGAAAACTTTCATAAATAGGACACACATTTTTTTCCAGTCCTCATATTTCTGTGTTTTTTTTAATCCCCTCTAGCCATCAGTGTTCAGATCTGTGCTGACAAAGGGGCAGAGAAGATAGCCTAGAATGAGAGATTCCTAGAGCACGTCACCACAACTGATGATTTGTTACACTTATGCATCACACCTAATTAACACCAGACCTAAAAAAGTTAAGAGCGGTTTAGAACGAAAACCCTTTTTTGTTCTTTTTCTTTTTTTTTTTTCACTTGACCAGACTCCCAATTGATTAATTACAAAACACACTAGAATTTGTGGTTGCCCTAATCTTAAGCAGGGAAAATTCTCTAATGCCTTGGAACGGAGCCCAAAGTTCAGAGCCCCATACCTGAGCGGGGCTTTGGGATGAAATGAGCCTTCATTTCACGAGATAGTTCACTTCTTTGTCAGCATAATGATGATTTATGGATTTGCATGTTCAAAGAGATTTGCGCGACGGATTTATTCGAAAATTTACATAGATTGCAGAAAGAACATCTTTATTTTTCCAGCGAGGTGTCTGAGCTAGCGGTGGAGATGTGAGTGCATCATTAGCTGCGTGCTTGATAAACCAGGTGTCAGCCTGTATAAAACAGCTGTATCTCAATGAATTTTCCCCTCCTGCGCTGTTTGTTGGTCTTATTTATTTATTTCCCCAGTAAGTACATTAACAATTCCGGCACAGAGCTCCCAGCCACTGGATTTCCATGTACTCTTTTGCTGTGTCCGAGAATTTTGTGGATTCTGATTCACTGCTCATAACTGACCTATCTATCTATCTATCTATCTATCTATCTATCTATCTATCTATCTATCTATCTATCTATCTATCTATCTATCTATCTATATCTATCTCTGTTGCCTTCTTTTATCTAATTTAATTTCTAAATGTTTCTCACTTTCTAATTATTTTCTGTATTTTTATACTTACCCTTTTCTCTAGCCACTCAAGCTTTATTGGCAGGTTCAAAAACATATAAACATTGCCAATGCAAGTGGGGAAATATAAATATTTGGTGTGAAGGGTGGCAATATATGTGTTAAGAGAATAATGAGGAAGGAGTTCTGAGACACTATCGGGGGGAAAATGGATAGTAGTATGTGTAGTGTAGTAGTGTGGTAACAGTGGGGAACCTATGGCACGCGTGCCACAGAGGGCACACAGAGGCCCCTTTGGTGGCACATGAGCCTAGGCAGGGATGTCAGATTCAGGCAGGTAGTTTTTATCTACATTTAGCCCTGCTTCGGGCAAGCAGAGCTAAATGTAGAGCTGGGAAGCCGCCGCTCATTTTGTACAAGTGATCTCGGAGATCACTTGTATGCAGCCTGCGTGTCGGTCCATTCCATTGTCCGCCCTGTGAAGTAAAAAAAATACATAGAAATAAAAAAAGTAAAACAGCGATAAATTTAAAAATAATAAAGAAAAATTAAATGTTTAAATGTTTGAATATGTGTGTTTTGTCTAAGACTGGGTTCACACCTGGGCGTACGGAATATGCGCGTTTTTACCGCGATTTGCGGTAAACAAAATGCGCGACAAATGCGCGTTTCCAAGGGCTGTCTGGCTGTATCCTAATGGATATGCGCGGCAAATACGCCCCAAAGGAGCTCCTGTACTTCTTTGGGCGTAAGGTGTTTTAAAACGCGTTCCTACGCTCCCACATGTTGAGCGTTTTAAAGCGCGTAGGAACGAGTGAACCAGGCCTATGTCAGTGATGCTGAACGTTTTTTACACCCCAGTGCCCAAACTAAAACACAATACCAAACTTATTTTCATTGTTGGCACTTTGAGATAAATACATTGATTTTGCGTTGCAGTTTGGGCACTCGGGTTTAAAAACTTTAGCCATCACTGATGTAGGGAATAAGAGATACATCCAGTTGCATTATCAGCATGCATATAGACCATTCAGCCACAAACCCCACAACCACTGGATTTAATCTTCGGTTGTGTGTACAAGAATCCGGTGGATTGATGCCTTGATCTTCTATGCTCCTTCCTTTCTTTGTCTCCCAAAATGAAAGAGCGGTCCACTTAATACGGCCCCTCGTCAATAATAAATAGCAGCTTTAAGTTAGAACCAAGAATGTAGGGGAAAAAATAATAATACATATACTTACTGTACCTTAACCCCAATTTCTGTACTGCAGGGGGTGATGTTACCATCCTTCTGGTGAGATATCGGGGAATAATATATATCCCAGGCCTTGTACAGGCCTTGTAATATATATCCCACGCCCAGTACAGTTCACACATGGGCGTTAGCGTTGTGCTGTGTCAAAAAATAGAGTGCATGTTGCGTTCTGGAGGCATTGCCGCTGGAATAATGCCTCCATTGAAGTATATTGAAATACCCTCTAAATGCTCCGTCAAAGCTCCCTAGAGCGCAGGTGCACAGGTATTCAGGAGAAGTATAGGAGGTTTTGCAAGTCCAAAAACCACTAGGGAGTGGACAGAGCAGCTGCAGGTGACACTTCCTGTTTGCACACAGCCAGCGCTATGTGACTGTCACAGCTAGCGTTTTTTCCAACAAAAGAGGACAGATTTTAGCCTGAAATATGTCTGAAATAAATGTCGCACGGTCTAACTCAAGCAGTAGAGCAACAGAATTGTATGACCCAAGTGTGCCCAGCTACTGCGACTCCTGCGGGTCACTTCCCTTTACCACATCACTTTACCCTTAACACACTCCCCTACCTGCAGGGAATTTTGCAAGTGTTTTTGATGCCTCCCTAATGCCTTGATAACGCTATAGGAGTGTTAATCGGCGCTTTGATTAAATTCTCAACAGACGTGTGAAAGAGCCCTGAATGTTTTCATACATGTCACAC